ATATATGATAATGGGAAACACATACGATACACTGCTTCTATACAAACATACGTAGGAAATGCAAACAAAGACTTTTAACACATCCAGAAAATATAGATAGATGAAATATTATAGATTATAGTCGACCCTATGGCAAAATGGAAAAAACTAGTAGTACTGGTGTTACGGCTATCATAATAATAAACGCTAAATATCAAGCATATGTCTACAAACACAAAGAAGACAGTGAGATTTGTTAGCAACTGTATTCTACTGTAATTAAGGAGCAGATAATAACGAAATGCCGGTGATAGGTCATAATCACAGTATTGGTAAACTGATGGGCAGACAACCATCGTACACACAATCCACGAACGTTTTTAAAGACGCAATGTTACAAAAGCCACAGGGCCTACGACCATCCGAAGCGAGATCGAGATGTAATCGAAGTATCATTGTAAATGATAAATAAGCAGCCCATATTTAGCGGACAACAAACGATGAGGGCAGATTTGGTGCAATAGGCTAAAACGCTGTTTTAACAACGATTTTACTTACGACGGAAGGCTACCGGGCCATACTGTAAAATACGAGCCGCGTTAAAGTAAATTACGGCCAATACTAGCACTTCGATATGACCATCATATGCATTACATACATGCTTGCGGTAACTAACAATGTTACCTAACCTTAATAACAATTACGTTAATAACAATGGTGAAAAAGAATATGACACAATATATCCCAAGTTAATTTTACTAAAAAAAAATAAAAACACGACAGAAATTACTGATGAGTACTATTATGACGGTATCATTATCATCACAGCCAATTCAAATCCACTTGAAACTATTAATCTTCTTTGTATAGACAGAACTCAGACGAGTGTTAGACTAATGTTAAAATAATACTGAAGGTAAGAGGCAGCGCCTAGGGGGTAGATACCCCTGGCAACTAGCCCTATTTATCCTATAAACGGCAGCAACCGATATAAAAATAGTTTTGTTATTCTTATGATCCATTGAAAAATTAATGTAAATCTTAGCGGATTAATAACAAGATTAAACAAACAGTCACAGAAGGCACTAAGAACTAGTATACAGGTGTACTCAAATTAACAATAACAGCAACAAACAAACCAAAAAAGTAAGCACACAAGGGATGCTGTAATAATCAAGAGTTGTAAGCCAATTTATACTGTGGTGAATGATGAGATCTTAGCCGAGTTGCAAAGTTTTGATCACCGCGAGTATGGCAGAGGGTAGCGGTTATTATAAACTTGATATCGCACGACACGACCAATAGGACGCAGGAAAACACCTTCGTCCGAAAAAGGTCCGTGAAAAATCATTGCTTACCTCACCCAGTGACACAGGCGGCATTATTAGACACACCGGTCATGCCCAAAAAGCAGGAGACACATCAAGAACGTGCATAGTAACATTATATCGATGATTACCTACGACGATGAACGTCTTTATTGCCTACATAAGACACTTTACAAAAATTCATTGGTAGCATTCTTAAATGCAAAGACCGCATGAAAAACACGCAAGATAGGCTGACAATAACAAAACCGTATTGATAAATAAACAGTGACAGATCGACTTACGCGTATATATATATAAAACAAATACCTAAGTGAGAGAAAAGAGAAACAATTGCGAAAGAGCGAGAGAGAGCGAAAAAGAGTTACAAGTTGCGCAGCAAATGATAATAATGATATATA